TAGAAATACCATTTGACCCAGCCATCCCATTACTGGGCATATACCCAAAGGATTATAAATCGTGCTGCTATAAAGATACATTCACACGTATGTTTATTGCAGCACTATCCACAATAGCAAAGACTTGGAACCAACCCAAATGTCCATCAGTGATAGACTAGATTAAGAAAATGTGGCACATATACACCATGGAATACTATGCAGCATAAAAAAGGATGAGTTCATGTCCTTTGTAGGGACTTGGATGAAGCTGGAAACCATCATTCTGAGCAAACTATCGTAAAGACAGAAAACCAAACGCCACATGTTCTCACTCGTAGGTGGGAATTGAACAATGAGAACACTTGGATATAGGGTGGGGAACATCACACACTGGGGCCTGTTGTGGGGTGGGGGATGGGGGAGGGATAGCATTAGGAGATATACCTAATGTAAATGACGAGTTAACGGGTGCAGCACACCAACATGGCATATGTATACATATGTAACAAACTTACATATTGTGCACATATACCCTAGAACTTAAAGTATAATAATAATAATAATTTTTAAAACTATGAAGATTTTAAACCAACCAACAAGTACTAGAAATAAACATTATAAAGACATTAAAATTTTAAAAAATCTTATTAGATAGGTTTAGCAACAAACAAGACACAGCTAAATGAATAATTAATGGATTCAAATATAAAGCTAAGGAAAATACCTAGAAGATCAAAATGATCAAAAATATGAAAGAATATTTAAGAGACATAGAGGATAGATTTGATATCCAATATACTGTAACAGGTGTTTTAGAAGGAGAAAGAAGAGGATATGAGAAAAGAAGTAATATTTGAAGATATAATAGCTAGGGATTTTCCAGAACTGATGGAAAACTTGAGCTCTAAGATCTAAAAAGCACAATAAATCCTAGGCTGAATAGGTAAACGTAAATTCACAGCTAGACACATCTCTGGAGCTGAAAAAGCACCAAAGAAAGTAATATCCCACCAGATCAACTAACCAAAAAAAAAAAAAAAAGGCTTTTCTATAGCAAAACTAGAAGCCAAAAATCAATAGGATATTACCTACAAAGAACTGAAGGAAAATACTTGAAGAAGATTCAATCCAGAAAAGAAATAATAATGAGCAAAGAAAGTAAAATATGAGGGTGAAACTAAAATACTGGATAATGATAGTATTTAAAATTTGAGATGAGGAAAGTTAAAATATTTTTGTGTTACTCATGAAAACAGAAATATAAGCCAAAGTTAGACTTTTAGGTAAATATGCATGTTAAAATTTTAAGATTAGCCACTAAAAGGATGGAATTTGAATGTGTAATTTCCAATCTGGTAGAAGAGGGAAAAGACAGAATTTTGAAAATAAACTAAAATAAAAGAGAAAACAAAAGGTAACATAGAAAAATCAGGATAAACTTTTACCTAATTGGGAGATAGAAAAAAATCCAAATCCTACTAAATATAAACAAATAACTTGCAAATTAAATATCAGAGATTACCAAACTGATAAAATAAATAAATTCAGATAAATGCTGCCTACAAGAGGACACAGAAATGTTAAAATGGAAAGGATGGAAAAAAATACACCAAACTAATACTAATCAAAAGTCAGATATAACTGACTCTCAATAATTCTCAAAAGAATATTCTCAAAAGAATAATTACTAGAGTGGTTACCAGAGATAAAGAATGTCAGACAAAAATGACTTTCAAATCAAAACAATCATTATCAGAGAGCTTACTAGAGATAAGGAATGTCAATCTATAATACTAAAATGTGAAATTCACAAATAAGATTCTACATATATAAATGCATACCTTACATAACCTCCCCCCAAATATATGAAGCATTAATGGGCAGAGTAAGAAGGAATTGATAAATCACCATCATAGTGGGAGAAAACCCAACAAAAATAAGACGTTAGTATTTATTAAGCAGACAAAGAATTAATAAAAATATAGAAAAAGTTTATACATAACCTTTATTCAAATTAACAAGCTTAGTTTAATAAAGATATGTAGAACCTTCCAATCAATAGTCTCATAATATAAATTTTTAAAGCATGAGATTTTGTGAAAAGTGATCAACTATGACTATATAGCAAGTCTTGGCAGATTTCTAAGAATAACTATAAATATATGCTTTGATTACAGTGCGTTAAGTTAGAAATAAAAAGCAGAAAGATAAGGTTAAAAAAACACTTTGACACTTAAAAATGTTTTAACACACAATTCATGGATGAAAATGAATTTATGATAAAAATGTAAATTACCTACAATTCAAGGATGACGAAAATCCTAAACATCAAATCTTGTGAGATGCTGCTAAAAATGCTCATAGAAGGAAGTTTATAGGCATGAATATGATATTATAAAAGAATTTGTTATCTAAGCAACAGACTTAAGTTAGTAAAAGAACTATGAAATGAACAGGAAAGAAAAAAGGAAGGAATAATGAAGAATAAATGTTAATTAAACATAAAACAAAGATAAAAGGATTGATGAGGCCAGGCATGGTGGCTCATATCTGTAATCCCAGCACTTTGGGAGGCTGAGGCAGGAGGACTGCTTGAGGCCAGGAGTTTGAGACTAGCCTAGACAATGTAATGAGACTTAACATCTCAACAAAAAAGTTAAAAATTAGCCAGGCATGGTGGTGCACACCTGTTGTCTTAGCTACTCAGAAGGCTGAGGCAAAAGGATCCCTGGAGCCCAAAAGATTGAGGTTGCGGTGAGCTATGATTGGGCTACTCTGCACTTCAGCCTGGCCAACAAAATGAGACCCTGTCTTAAAAAAAAAAAAAAAAAAAAAAAAAAAAGGATTGATGTAAACGAAAGCCAATTTTTTTTGAAGTCTAATAAAATAGGCGAAACTAGCAGAATTAAAGGAAATGCAAAAAAAATTAAAAGTGACTATAATTAAAGCAGAGATTTAAATAAAAGAGGACACTACAAACAACCTCATGCAATATTTAGCACCATTTCTTAGATCTGAACAAAATGCCTTACCCCCTGCCCACTTTGGTTTGAATTTTCTGAGTAAATTGTCGTAAAATAAATATTATTTCCAAGTGCTTTCATGCCCTTACAAATTTCTTATTATTATTTCTATTTCTTCTTCCATTACAAATAAAATCTTATAAAATCAACATAGCACCATAATTTAGGAAACTATTTGTAAATATAGGTATGTAAATGTTTTAAAACAATTAAATAATATTTTCCCCAGAAAAATTACTTATTACATGCAATTTAGTGTTGCATATGTACTAAGGATTAACACTTCGCAAATGATATGTGAAACACTATCTCACAAGGATTACAGAATAGATTGTAATAACTGTGTAAGATACATTATGGTTTTTGTTCTTTTGAGCATTTCAATCTTTGAATCTTGTAATGTATGTTTATCTGTGTTCACTCTTATAGAAAAAGTCAGGAATGTGCCTTTAGTGCTTTACCTCATTCTTGAATCAAGGTTTTATCAGGACAGAAACTAAGATTGCTGGTTAGGCAGAAGGCATATCCTAGAGGGTGTGTAATATGTGGCATATTTTAAAGAAATCCAATAGGGATGATGTGAGCAATTATTAATATGCCAAACCCCATCAGGCAGTCGCTCTCAACCTTTTCCTCCAACACCAAGGATGTCATTGCACCAGAACTGCTGTAGAAGTCAAATACATACTTCTCTCTCTCTTTTTTTTTTTCCTGCTTTGGCCCAATGAATTTATTGAAGAGAGCTCTGTCCTCCCTTCTACCTAGAAGAGGAGGCTTGCGAGGCTGACACCTGCCCACACCTGGCATTTGACCTTTCCCTGGGCTAGGGTGAGTGGGAGCAGATGCCCTCATCCTATGACCGGGGACTGTGGAGGAGCCATCACACCACCTAGCTGATGACGACACCTAGTTCTTCAGTCTCACACTGGACTTTATCCCCCTTCTTGAGAAGGACAGGAGATTTCCTGAATACAACGACACCTGGGGAGGTCCCAGTCAGGATGACATCCCCTGGGTAAAAGGTGAAAAACTGGGAGACCCAGGCTGTCAGCTCCTCTGTCTTAACCACCATCTGGTTGGTGTTGCTGCTCTGGACCACTTCCCCATTCACTTGGCAGCAGATCTTTAAGTTATGTGGATCTGCTACACTGTCCTTGGTTACCAAGGCCGGGCCCAGAGGGCAGAAGGTGTCGAAGGTTTTTCCCAGCAGCCACTGTTTCCCCTTATGTCTCATTTGCCAGTCATGAGCACTCACGTCATTAGCCATAGTGAAGCCAGCCACATGGGCCATCTGTGGCCTTGACGTGCTTGCCTTTCTTTCCAGTGACCACGGCCACTCCACTTCCCAGTCTACGTCCTGGCTCTCCAGTGGGAGGACCATCTCATCATAGGACTCCACGATGGAGTTGGCAAACTTGCTGAAGATAATGGGTTCCATGGGCACAGGCATGTTCTGTTCTTTGCAGTGGTCCACATAATTCATGCCCACACAAAGCACCTTATCTGGCCACGTGGCTGGAGCCAGGAAGGTTACTTCCAACCGTGATAGGACTGGCAACTGGGTACCTAAGGCTCTTCTTGCCACTGAGAGGGTGGCCTCTCCCTGCTCTAGGAACTGTGTCATCATCTTGGGGAGCATAGAGTCAAAGGCATTGCAGTTGATAACCCCTCCACCATTCCCTGTCTCCAGGCCAAAGTGAGGCCCCATTAGGTGGGGTGCCTGGAACTGCACTAGTCTTATGTCTCTGGAGGGTTGAAAGGGCCACTTCTGAGCCTGCAGCAGAGCTGTGAGCAACCTTCTTCTACCAGAGACCAGCATCAGAGCCTGGCGGCAGTGGCTGGTCCTCCTGTGCTGGGTTAGGGCTTGGGGGGCCGGAGGTCAAGGGCAGCGGGCGCCTGAGCATTGGCACCAATGACCGCGGCTAGTGGGGGAGCTGCATGCAGCAGCCTCAAATATGTATTTCAAAGTGATACAGAGTTGGTTTACCTATGAAGCTCAGAGCTCTCCATTCAGTGTCTGCAATGGAATAAAGCATATCTTTTTCTTTCCTTCTCAGGTGCAATAATTGTCCTCAGAGATAACCTGTTGTTAACATTCTCAGATTTCAGTCTTTACAGGACAGTCAAATGGATCTGTGGAAAGCTAGAATTTTTTTTTTTTTTTAACAATTCTCACACCAATGGGTGGTTGAAGTTTTAATTTTTTTCTTTGGACACATAATTCAAAAATTAGAGAAATGATTTTTGTTTGTGTGTTACAATTTTTAGCCTCCTGTCTTTTTTAATGTCTGAGATATACCTTCTGGGGATATCAAAGTCAAACATTTATGTTATATGTCTTCTATGTGTCATCTGCTTTGTGCTTTTTTTCCCTGCAGCCAATCATAATCCCAAATATTACAATAAAGATTTTGTGGTTTTTTATTATTCATTACTCTTTAAAATAAAAATTTCTTTGTGTCTGGACTCTCCAAAGATTTAAATATAATACAATACAGGAAACGTTGATGTTTTACAGATCAAAATGATACTGAGAAGTCTGGCACAAAAGAAATACACAGTAGGCCGGGTGCGGTGGCTCAAGCCTGTAATCCCAGCACTTTGGGAGGCCGAGACGGGCGGATCACAAGGTCAGGAGATCGAGACCATCCTGGCTAACACGTGAAATCCCGTCTCTACTAAAAAAATACAAAAATTAGCCGGGAGGTGGCGGGCGCCTGTAGTCCCAGCTACTCGGGAGGCTGAGGCAGGAGAATGGCGTGAACCTGGGAGGTGGAGCTTGCAGTGAGCTGAGATCCGGCCACTGACTCCAGCCTGGGGGACAGAGCGAGACTCCGTCTCAAAAAAAAAAAAAAAGAAATACACAGTAGACTTCACACTACCAGGAAAATTCTGTTTACCAAAAATGTGCCAACTTTCTATTGTGTTAAGTGTCATTGTTTGGAAAAGACAAAAATCATTTCCTCCAAAAAACATATGGAGATGGAGTTATCTTTAGAAATTCCCAGGCTTTAAAGTTTCATGAAACTTTCTACTTTCTGAGCAAATAAATAAATGAATAATTGCCATCTCTTATTAAATAACTCCAGTATTCTCATGACCTCAATGTTTATAAAATGAAAATAAATTAAAAATGAAAAAATACATAGCTGAAAAAAAAAAACCAGTTAAGTTGCAATTAGAGAGATTTTATTGCTGGTAAGTTTGAGTTCCTTCATTTAGATAAATCTCAAGAAAAAAAAAGGGAATTCCTCTTCAGAGAAAGAAACATCGAAATGACAGTGTTCAAATTCCATTACTAGAGAAGACACAGTAGCTTACATCTATAAAGCTGGAACTGGAAGAGCAATCCAAAATGGCAAGTAGTTTTTGCACACTTCCAGGGAAACAAAGTCCCCATACTACTGGATGTTACTGATTGCACTACTCTCCCCGTTCAGAAAAGAAGGGAATAGGGATACATGTTGACCATATTACATACACAGTGGAAGATATTTTCTAGCCACTGCCATTTATTGAATATATGTGCTAAGCACAATTAGAACATACATAAATTCAGTTTATTTCACTCTAACTCTACAAAGGTTTTACTATTCCTATATTATAAGTGAGAAAACTGAAGCTCAGAGAGAATGAAAGCCTCAAAGTTAGTGAGTAATGGAGTCCACATTTCAATCCAGGCTTAATTCCAAAGTCCAGGCACTTAATCATTGTCCCAGCATTATAAGGGGCCAAATAAGGAATTAAGACATTAGAAGGCAAGCAACCCACTTTTGGTCCCAGAGAGCAATAAGACCCTGAATGTATCTTTCATGAAGTCAAGGAATTACTGAATAATTTGGCCTAACACATTGCTCTCAATTTAACACAGCTGTGCTCTTTCTCCACATTTACATCCATCTTTCATCTGAGTTAAACTACATGACTTAAGTACTCTAAGCCCCATTTTACCCATTGACTTATTCAGAACTTTGCAAAGAGTTTAATCTGAAAAAGCCACATAAGGGGCCATATATTAACTTTTTCCTTCTTTCATTCTTTTCCTTTTTCTATCTGCTAAAATTACAGAAAATGTTCATTTTAATTACACATGTGTGGCCAGAAAGTTCATATGATGCCTATGGGTCTGAAGAGTGAGTAGGTACCCAAGGGGGAGACATTTAAAAGTTGTTCCGTTGTCATCCCAGCACTTCAGAAAACCAAGGCAAAAGGATCGCTTGAGGCCAGAAATTCGAGACAAGTCTGGGCAACATAAGGATATCTTGTCTCTACAAACGAATTTTTTTTAAATTATCCATTGCCATGATAGGAATACATAAACAAGCCAGGCATGGTGGTGCTCACCTGTAACCCCAGCTACTTGGAAGGCAGAGATCACAGGATCGCTTGAGCCCAAGAGTTTGAGGATGCAGTAAGCTATGATCGTGCCACTGCACTCCAGCCTGGGTGACAGTGTGCAAGCTTGTATATATATATATATATGTGTATGTGTGTGTGTGTGTGTATATGCTATATATATAGCTTTGTGTGTGTATTTATATATAGCTCATATATATACACATAGCTTGTGTATACACTTTGTGTGTATATATATATCTCATATATACACACATAGCTTGTGTATATATATATAAATATATATATATATAATAGCTTTGGAAGATATATTTAGGCGTTCCAGCAGTAGAAGCCACAGTGCTTAGTTTCTCATCGAATTGGAGTAAGAGAGAGCTTGACTTCAGGATTTCTGGTTTGGGAGGCTGAGTGGATGTGATATCAGTTTCATCCTCAATGTGTTAAGTTTGATAATCTTGGAGACTTCTGGCTGGTAAAGTCTTTTAAGTCTATTAAGCAGTTAGAAATAAGGGTACTCTGGAGAAATGTACAGGTGAGAGATAGAGATCAGACAGGTGGTGGTTGAAGTCATGAGAAGGTACAGCATTGGTGTAAAGATAATAAAAGAGGGTATTGTATTATGTTGTATATTCTGCTTTTTTTTTTTTTTTTTTTT